GTGCTGCAGCCTGCCGGCTGCCAGCAGAAATGCCTGCTTGGCTGCTGTGCAGCCACCACCGAGACGCTTACAAGTTTTGCATCCCAGCTCCGGCCTGGAGTGGAGCCTGCAGGCGTGCTGCCCAGCTCACACCGCAGCAGGAGGGCGCCGGGCCCCACCCTGGGGGGGTTCAGCCACAAGGAAGGCACATGGGTGCCCCATGGCCACCCCAACACCCTGGGAAGGGCCAGTTCGATCTGTGAGGGTCACCAAGCCTCAAGTTGGAGGGTAATGAAATCCCTCCCCACCATGTGGCATTCCCCGTGCATTCTCCTGCAAAACTGGGAGCCCCGGCGCTGGTGAGGGTGCCAGGTCAGTGCTCGGCGGGGAGCCCCAGCACACGCCAACCAGCCAGTGCTGATGAGGGGTTGGCACCTACCGGTTAAAGATGTCATCGTCCTCTCCTCCCCAGCCCCAATACTCGTTGGGAAAGCCGTTGATCTTCAGGAACTGGGACTTGCTAAGCCCAGAGACGCCACCAAAGTAGCCGGCGTAGGGCAGCCTGTGGGGTGACAGCAAACAGGTCAGCCCCCAGGGGCAGGCAGGGATGGGGGTCAGCCCCATGGCAACCCCCCGGGACAAACACCAGCCCTTTCCTGTGTCACCCTCCCACCAGGGCTCTGCATCTTCTCCCGTCCCACATTCACAATTAGAGCCAGCGACCCCACGTCTGCCCCAGGTGATCACCAAAGGTTGGTGGCCCTGGTGTCATCCCAGCCCTGCCCAGAAAAGCACCCCAGCCCCGCAGAGCACCCACCTGAACCCAAACTTGTCCATGCCAACAGCAACGTGCCGCGGCCGCTCATAGCAGCGATAGAGGTTGCGGTCGTCCATGGGGACGAGGTCCACGTCACTGAAGATGAAGCAGTCATACTCCTCATCATCCTTGAGGGCCTCCAGGAACCCCACGTTGAGCAGCTTGGCCCGGTTGAAGGTGTCCTCACCAAACTGCGGGGCAGAGCTCAGTGATGCCCGCCTGACCACCCCAGCCCTGTCAACCCCTCTCCCCCGCACCCCTCACCTGGTTGATGATGTAGATGCCGTAAGCCACCTTCTGCCGGCGCAGGATGGGGTGCAGGTAGTGCAGCCAGTACTTGAGGTGGTGTTCACGGTGCCGGAAGGGGATGAGGATGGCCACCTTCTGACGGGGCAGGCAGTCTGTGGGGGTGTACTTGCCACCCTGGCGCACGTCGGGGTTCTCCCGCTGCACCCGCTCCATGCTCATGGGAGAGCTGAACTCAATGAGCAGGCGCCCAACTGCAAGAGGGAGGGCAGAGTGATGCCTGTGGGATGGGACACGGTCTGGCTCATGGTCACCTGCTGCTCCTGGCCAGGCTGGTGGAGCAAACAGCGAGGGGGACCTGCAAGGGGGACTGGCACTGTCGAGGGCAGAGAACACCCAAAACCTTTCTCAAACAGGGGCGAGACACTAACAAAACCTGAAAACAGCTGTCTTGGTACCAGTTCAAGGCTGGGGTTTCTCCACTGCTCCACCCCTGGGACCGCCGGGAAGCCATGCCCAGGGCCCAGGGGATGGGAATGCTACCCATGGCTGCCCACCCCAGCCCCATGCTCAGAGCCAGAGCCCAACTCCCCCTTGTACTCATCCCGCACGTCTCACCTAAGCCAGGAGGTGTCTCCTGGCAGGGCTGCAAGGGCTTCTCGGTGGCGGACAGATTGGTGCTGGGCTTGGCGCTGGGGGACGGGGCCTCAGCACCGGCCGGCCCGTAGCTGGGTACGGTGCCGTTAGGGCGGGAGGAGTTGGAGAAGGGGTGGGCACGTGAGGCGTTCCTGGCGTTGAAGCGGCTGAAGAAGTCCAGGTGCTGCGCGTAGACATCGAAGTAGAGGATCATGATGATGACAAAGTGGAGCAGGCAGAGCAGCAGCACAGCCTTGCAAATCCTTTCCAGGGTCACCCCCAAGAGCAGCCTGGTCATCTTCCGGGCACGGGCAGGCGGACATGTGCGCTCAGTTGGGGCAGGGGGGGCGGCCCCAGCCCCAGCCCCGATCCTGCCAAGAAACGCAACACTCAAGACACCACCAGCCTGAGCCATCAACCCCAGCCCAAACAACAGCAGGGTGGTGGGAGCAGCACAGGCCTGATGAGGAGGTGATGGGCTTGCAGGTCGGATTGCCAGTGAGTGCCCTGTGGGGATGTTGCGCTCAGACCCCCCCTCTGAAGGTACAGCCATGAAGACATGAGAGGTCCCCAGCCCCATGCAGTAAGTCTCCTCCCTGCTTTACAAGGCCAAGACTGGTCCAGACCCACTCCCCGTCCCCATCACCCCCCCAGGCAGGGGATGGGGATACCCCCACAGGCGCCACGAAGAGCCTCCATGGAGGCTGGGCACTTGAAGGTCACACTCTCCAAACCACAGCCAGCCTGGGGTGTCCCAAGGGCACCATGGGTGCCCCCACCAGCCACCCCTTTCTGAGGCACCTCACTTCCCTGCTCCCCGTCCCA